TGTTAACAGAATACTGATTTTGGTTTGACATCAGCCCTGATTCATATCTGTCAGGAGGTGTTGATGAAATATGCACCCTGAGTTTGTTTTATAACTGCACATAAAATGGCCTCGGTGTTCTGTTTATGCAGCGAATGCAAAACAAAATGTGCCATGGATGTTACTCACTGATTTAGAGTAATTATGTGGGTCAGCACACTATACAAAAGCAAACTGGCCAACAGAATGGTTTGCGAGACAGTATGCCACCTGCAATTTCAATAGTTGACCTGTTGAAGATTTATTTATTTATTTATCCCCACATACTTTATGTATAATATATAATTTAGATACTGTTCTGTGCCCCATAATTCATAAAAACAAAGAAGAAAGAGGATGTATAAATACCCTCTTTGTGTATCAGTCATATGAAATGAAGTGAAAGCAAAGCCCTGACTGAGCATGTGCCCTTCACATGTTCCTATGCGTATGAATTATTTATTAAGGTGCTGGGCACAATGGGTGGTAGGAGGGTGAGAGGAGCATCAGTGACTGGCACAGTAATGACAGTGTCTGGACACGTCTCACAACGCCACTCTCTGATTGGTGACCTTACACGAGTGGCAGAGGTTAGAAATGTTCGGCTATGAGAGCCGGGCCTTTTTTTTTGTGGCGCTGCTTCACCAAATCCAAATTAGCCAGCGGCTCCCAAATTGCTCTCTTAAACCTGCCAGTGCAGCGCGCCGTCTCATGCTGTAAATGATTAGCGCATTAACAGCATAGTGAGGGGACTAACTTGGTGCTCCAGACCCCTTGTTAAAGCAGCGAAAAGCATAGCTGTGAGGTATAATTCATTGCAGTGGCAGCTAATGAGTGGATGCTACAGTGGGAAGGTGACGGTAATAAGCACAGACTTTACTCCATCTTACCACAGGTTAGGATTCAGGATGAGGAGCTGGTTGTTAGAGAAGTATTTACAAGTAATCTAAAGCTGAGTTGGCACATGCGGTCGCTGGCAGTTGCTGGAAATGAATGGAGTGTATTTGAAGGACCTGGCTTATTGTTGACGTTCTTTAATAACAGAAACTGATGGGAGATAAGTCTAACTCTAGAGCTGGGTATCATTTGAAATGAATACCGTTGCCAAACAATATCTGAATTTTAGCACCTCTACCTGATGATACCTCACATTGATAAATATTGACCATGTTTCTTTTTTCAATTTGCTTTTAGTTTAAGTTTCCAGTTAGCGCTAAATTGTGTAAATTTAAGATAAAACAGCCTGTGATGTGTTTTCTAGTTGCCTTGTAAGCTAATTCAGTTCATTCTGAAAGTGTCTACACCATTTGAGCTTCAGAATCCAACCATATTTTGCATTAAAAATCAGAACAATTGGCTTTAAGGACTTTAAAATGGGGGCAGTCTTGGCAAACTACTAAGAAAACAGCACACCCCCACCGGCGCGTCCCCTTCCACTCTTCAGTGCAGTGTTAAATGCATGGTACATGTAAGAACCTAACCAAGCAGTCAATGACACCACGGACACATTTCGGTCAATACATCATAAAGTATTGAAATTAAACACCTAGCCCTTGTTGCCTCAGTGCACATGCAAGTGTCTCTCTTTGCTTGTGATCATGTTGTGGAAATATAAATCTAATTCCTTTACATGACACATGCAAATATGTTTCAGACATGAATATATGCTGGCAGTTTGCTCCTGTGCATGAGAAGCAGATACGATGACGCTTCAGTGGAGTTTACATCAGCTTTCTAATGTCTACAAACATACAAAGAGGGCACTGAAGGCAAATGAGCAAATTTATATTCCGTTTTCTTGAGGAAACCACAGACGTACCAAACGGGGCCACCATTGTGTTCTTTTTTTCCCTGTGGTTTTGTCCATCCATTTTCTCTCCAGTGAAGGCCCAGGGTCTCAAAACACACACAAACTTACACAGACTTACATCAAGGCATGCACAAATACACTTTTGGCCCAGATTTTCCACCCTCGGTGTCTGCGGGGTGTTTAAATACCAGAGTAGGGTTGTCTAAATGATAATTGCTTCTGAAAGGTTGATTTGTGGCTATATCAGAGGGGGTAACTCTCCTCTCAGTGTTGAGCGAGATTAGCCATGGATCTTCGGGATTTATCACTTGAGGCATACGGATTAATGCTGCAATGAAGTTTAAAACAGAATCACTGGTGACCGCATCGTTTTAAAGAAATAAGAAGAGCTTATATCAGCTCAAACCATTATCAGAAGAAGAAAGGGAAGCTAATCAGCTTTTTTAATGCTAATTATTCCTAATGAGGATTAGATTTTTAAAAAAAAATAAGTAAAACAATACTGACCGATTTTGTCAGAACAGTTACAAAAAGTATTTTACATTATCATAAATTCCTAAATTTGTTTGGACATGTATAATACAACATGTTATATAGCATTTCCATGATTCTTCAGTTCTTATTTAGTCTTACAGTAAGCTTAGCTCTGAAGACATTCAATGAGCTGAAACTGCAGTTTTAATGGTCTTTTTTGTCGGGTACTGGATCTAATTAAGTCACAACTCCATCTGCTATTCTGTGTGTCAATAGAAATCACACCTTAGTGATTCAGAGACAAAATTAAATGAGATTGACTCCCTAATGTGTGCCGTTAGAAGCATGTCTGAGTTCTCTGAGGCCCACTATCTCACCCACAATGCAAAGTAAATGTATGGATAATAGGTTTAGCTGCCTAGATATGCTGCTATTACAGGTTTATCTATGATGGAAGGTGCATTTTATGGCATTAGAGGAGGCCAGACAAAGAATGAATCATAACCCAGATATCTGTAAATAAGATTCTCAAGGTTTTAAGCCTTAAAAGGAGCACGTGTTCAGTATCTGCTGTCATTAATCATTAAAAGGAAGTATGCATTTTTGGCCCCTCCCTTGTCTCCATATGGTCGGAAATTGATTTTCTACAAAAAACTAAGATGCAATTTACTTGCCGCTGCCAATGTTAATCTATTTACATACTTTAATTATGTTCATTCATGTTACTTTATTGGACTGAAAACAGAAATGTGTCTGTTTACCCTGCTCTAATCTTGAGAAATGTATCTATTCTCATCTGAATAGTAATAGTTGGGTGTGAACCACTTTGTTGGGCAGGCAAACAGGAGCAAGTGCAGCAGATATACATACAATTTAAGCAGACTGGCCCTGCTGCTATGAGTGCAAGTAAGCATCATGACTGCAGCTTAAGGCCAAACTGTGATAAATTGGATGAGAAAATGAACATGTCATTGAGCCAGGGGGGTCCATTTTGCACATTTGGGTTGTGATACATTGTCAGTCACAGGTTTAGACTAACATAAAGGAATGCTTATGCACCCTGGTGCCATGAAATTAAGCAATGAGGCACAATGTGATGTTTTCCAGAGGTGTAAATAACTAGCTTTGCACTAGTCTGGTGATAACTGCAGAATGACTGTAGAAAATAGCCTGCCAATACCAAGTTCAAGAAGGTATTATTACGGGGAATGGTCTGTCAATAAGATCCCATCTTGTGAGTCCAAATGACTGGAGTGTGTTGGCTACATCTCAGTGATAACTTAAACCTAATTGACAGGGGCTACACTGCCTCCTGGGGCGCAGGAGGACTGACAGAGCGAGAATGGAGATTAAGGAAAGGAGTGAACAAAGGTGAGGTGAGGGAATGAGGTGCTTGCGTGCATTAGGGGATGAGGGGGTACAGCGGAAAAGGAGCCATGGAGGTGATGCGCAAGGGATCGCTGGTCAACTAGCAGCGAGAGCCGGAGCACTGTCACTTTTTCCGCTCGCCATGTCTGCTGGCCCTGACAGCAATCCATTTGAGGGCCTCATGGTACTAAGAGAGTGCTAAAACCCAATCAAACAGGCTGGAAGGAAAAAGGCGAGACGCCAGGGCCCAGCCGGCTTCCACTTGTGTGAGCAATTCACCCCAGACTGACCCGTTCAGGCATCTTAAATAAGCCATGCGCATCATGGACGGCAGAAAAGCCACACTCGGGGACCTGAAGACAGCCATGTATCTGTAAAAGCTGGAGAGTGCTTTTTGAAATCAAAGAGGACTCCATGTTTGCCCTCATCAAGGTCAAATGAGAATGAAACAACATTTAAAGAAATGTAGAAAGAAATTCTATGTTTGTTGGACACAACTTAATGCTACCAACTAGAATAAGTTGTGTTTTTTTTCTCCCTAATTCTGTCAATTATGGGTTGACCTATTCATTTATGTTTGTTGTTGAGCTTTAGAAACATTGACAGATATAAAAAGAGATCAATTAAGCAACCAATAAAAATATCATAATGGGTAATGAAATATGGCAGATTAGCTTTCATAATACAGTTAAAAATGCAGAAAAGATTTCCCTCCCTAACAGGATTACATAGTTTTACAAAAATCAATACTTACCAGCAGTGCGACTGCAGTCGATGCCACCTCAGAGAAGCTGCTCAAGTTCAACAAAAGATCAGAGGAAGTTAGCTGGTGAAAGCGTAATCAAATGGCATCTGTCAGTACTGTGAGCTGTGTTGGACAGTGTCTCCTGGCACCCTGGTTTGCTTTGGTTTTCCAAATGTTTGGTGAGAATGTAATTAGCTAGCACTGGGCAGACACAACCTCATTTGAGATGGGCTTCACTAGCGTTGTGTGTTTTTCTCTTCTCCTTCCCTTGTGTGTTATTGTACACAGAATTAACTCTGACAAAATGGTAATTAATATTTCCCCTCCATTGTTGAAGAGGAGAGGGGACGCAAGAGCCCTGGTGCCAGGATCCAAAGGAGGGCACTGCCAGACTGGCCATCTTGCCAGCTTTTTATTTTTGCTAGGAGAAAGTGTTTTTCAATAAGCCAACCTAGTGGTGTTTAAAATATATATGTGTATGTTTCTGTGATCATTTTGACCCAACTGTTTACAAAAGATCAGGAAATAACTGGTTTTAGTTTGGAGGCTTAGAATATTAAAACTGACCATTTATTTTTATTTCAGGAGGTGGGGGATGTGGGCAGGAACACCAAAAAACCAATACAGTCAGATGGTATATGAGAATGGAGAACCCTGCTGGCAAGGAGGTTCACGCAGTACTACAGTAAGTGTTTCACACAAAACCATACATACAAACCTACAGTAGACACACTCACAGTAGTGGGAGCATATGAGAGTACAAAGAGGCAGACATGAATAAACTAATAGACAGACAGATGAACAAATGGTACTAACACACTGACACACTGTCAAATACACAGATGGGTAGATGATACAGTAAAGGACGAGGGACCAGAAAGAAGTCGTTTGCACAGCTCATTAGAGTTCTACCCTAAATAAAAGATGTGATACAGACCCTGTTTGTATTGTAATTCATTATGGCAGATGTGGAAATTTTAGACCTTAAATGTAAATGTAAAAAGAATTATAGAAATTATGGTTTCTATCTATGTAATATTACGTAGTGGTACTTATTGTTAGGCAACGCAAATCCAGTAAATACTTGCACCACAAAACCAATTCCCTTGCTGCTATTATTATTATTATTATTAATAATAATAATAATAATAATAATAATTCACCATTGTTATGGCAGTTGTCATCATCGTTGTCGTCATCATCATCATTATTATTAGTCATTTTTTACTAGTAGTTGTTGCTATTGTTGTTGCTGTGCATCTCTGTCTCTGTATTTCTCTCTTTACCATCCACCCCTCCTCCTCTCCCTCTTTCTCTCCAACCCCAACCGGCCGAAGCAGACTGCTGCTTTCTGCTTCCTTTTTTTTTTTTCTTGCCGCTGTCATCAAGTGCTTGTTCTTAGTGGGAAGTGTTGGGTCATTAAAAATAATTTAATAAAATTAATTTTAATAAAAAAGGAGTACAGTCTAGACTTACGCTATTTTGAAAAGTGTCCTGAGATAACCTTTGTTATCAATAATTGATTGACGTTATACAGATATAAATTGAATTGAATTTGAATTGAATTGAATTGGATTTGAATTGAATTGATAAAACATGTCTCCAGTGCTGTACAGCATTTAAAGTATCATTCAGAATTATTATATATAATAATTAGTCCAACGTCAGTCAGCCTTTACTTGCTTTAAGTCTTTTTTAAAACAGGACATTATTTCTTATTTTCTCTGTTGTATAAGAATATCATATCATAGAAGCCTCTCTGTTTTCTAAACTGCTCCTGCTTTAATTGGTTGCTGATGCAAACTCAATTCTGTTTCACTCGGTTATTCATGTTTACCTGCTTACTTTATGAATTAAGTATAATGTACTTTTCGATCAGTTCAACAGTTACATCAACTGTTTCTCTGAGTTTTTCTTCTCTAACACAGTTAAGTTACTGTCCATGAAACTGGATGGTTTTCTTTGTTGTTGTTTTTTAGGATTTACAGTATTCTCCATATTCTTACTTACAGATACTGTAAATTCTCTTATGAAAGCCAAAATTAAAATAATGTCAGTCTCAAATAATATCCAGGGCATGACTATCACACACAACTAAAGGGCAGTCGCTAATAAAGGCCAGATAAAAAAACATTGTCTAGGGTGGAATTACCTGTAGCTTACTACAACAGCTCATATAACAAATTTGATATACTAGTAAAGTATAAAGTCCATGTCTGGTGTGTTTTTTCTTATTAACTACATATAAAGGGAAGACTTTTAATTTGAAAATTCTGGAGGAAGAGTTGAGTTTTATTCGTGGTAGCTTAACATTGTTTGGGGGAAAGGGCAAAGTGGAATGCTTGATATGGCTCATGCTGATTGAATTAGTACTGTGACAACAGGTAAACACATAGGAGGTTTTGACTTTGCATTAACTTGGGAAATGATTAATAAACACATGTATCTAATATAAGATTATTCCAAATAAAGACCTGGTTCTCTGTCCCTGAGGCAAATATATTTAAAGGAAATCACAGTAGTTTGGTCAGGTTTCTGCTGCCGCTCCAAAAAGGTGGACAGGCTCTCCAGAAACAATGTCCTCATTACTCTAGATAATCCACACAACCCACTGTCAAGCGTTTTCATAGAGACTACTAAAGTGGGCCTAGATGAGCAAGTCCTCAGAGACTTTTGACACATTACTCATAGGTCATAAATGATGCCGAACCCTCTTTTTACATCAGCCCACAAAGATTCTTAAACTATACATTTTAGAAAACCCTCCTCCCACCACAGAAACCAAAAGATACTGTCGATAAAGACTTCAAAAATCCACCTTACAAATAAATACAACTTAAGTTAACTGTACAAAGAGGCCACGCACTGCTTATTTCCAGAGGGAAAGCTAAAGAAAACAGCCAAATGAAGCTCCTCTCACCACATTCATCAGGGACAATTTGAAGCCTTCTCGCCCAGTCTGCTCTCTGCATGCCTCATTCTGCGCATGTGTATTTCAACAATGGGGAGTTAGTCAGTCAATCAGTAAAAGACATTCAGTCCTCATGGCCCACTCAGCAGCCTGGCAAAAAGATGTTTTGTTCAAAGCCAAATGATGGAAGCTGACTTGCTTTCCCCCCTCTGTCAGTCTTCATTGGTTTTATGGTTAATGTTGCTCCGGTTGCATTCTCCTGCAGCTCTCTCTTCTACTCCTCTTTCTATTTTCCCAGTATTCCCTACTCTTTCAGTCCCTTTTATGAGATCCATTTACATTTTTGTGTGAGAATTTGCTCAATTAAAAATGCAGCACATTTAATCATCTTATTTTCTGTGCCTGGCCCCCTCTTCAAATCAGAGTCCAATAAATGTCGTTTGCAAATGTATGTACTCAAGCCATCCAGGGGCCCCCCTTGAAAAGACTAAATTGAATTCCTTTGATACAACCCCCTAACCGTGTGCAGTCGGCATAAATGAGGTCTCGTCAGAAGTCGACGCTCATTATATTTGAAATGCTGAAACTCGTCTCTCTCTTTCAGCGGTGAAACACACTTTATACTTGAGTAGTGGGACCAGTGATGTATTGTTTCAGTGGGGGATATTGAGGTAATCCAAATTCAAGCTCCTCACAGTGTATCTTAAGACTCTGTAGGGAAGGGTGAACTCAACTGTTTCAGTTATTAATTAAATGCAAAGTGTTGGACTGTGACTGTTACATGTGAGCAGTGAGTTCAGCTACAGCTAGCCCAACTGTGGCTCCAGATCTAAACCAGCCTCTCCCATTGTTTAAATTCCGGTATATTGTACATTTCTTTGTAGATTTGGCCATTATTTCTATCTTATTCACCAACATTGGCAAGAAACATGAACCCTCATACGATCATACACGTTTGAAACAAACCCCCAGGTTTACCAAAGTTGGAAGAGAAAACAAAAGCGAACAGTAAAAGACAAATCACCCAAACTGTCTGCTGTGAACAGACAACACTATAGTGTCTTAGTTTCTGTAGTTGTCCACATATAGTTTTCCTGTGAAATGAGGGGATAACTGACGACATTTTGTGTGCACTCACTATCAATTTTACCTCCAGAGAAAACTTCTAGACTGTTTGCTTGTTTACAACCTGTCATGTTTCCTGCCCTTTTGTACTTTTTTAGGGCAACAGTTCTCAGCCACTACTTTTGATGAAAGCAGTGTTGTCATAAGCACTACAAATGCTACAAAAATAAGACCCATATCTATCTTTTGATTTTATTTACATTATTTTTCCACTCAACCTGTAGTCAGATGTACCCATTGTAGGGTGTTTTAGCTAGTGGGAACATTAACATGCATCACATTCATGTCTTAGGGGAGAGACAGATGAAGACAAAGAACCAAATAATGATGCAGCAGAAACCAAGACATTTTGATTTAACTCCAAAAATCTAACCAAATGCAACTCAGTAGCATCTTTGTTTAGACCCTCATTGCCTGTTTGTGACTCAGGCTTTTTGTTATAAATGAGTCTCCATGCTGAGACAACCCTGATGATGTCACTATGACATCATCTGGTTTTTTTTTGGTCAGATTTGACAAAGCTCTCCAAGAACACATGAGTAGTACTAACCACAATGTGTAATCTGATCTTCATGTGAAATATTTGTGGAGTGTCTCTTTAACATATATAACAGAGAGTCAATACAAAAGTACACACACAAACTTTAACTGTAAAACCACACAACCCCCCCCCAGCACTGATCTCTGGCACCTGCAAGTCAAAATTGAATTTCAATGTGCACAAGTACATAGGAAAACACTTGGTCTCACCAAGCAGCACACACCCACTTAATATCTCAGTGCAACAAGATACTAAGTGACATAACAAAAGACTCTATTTTTAATCCAAGTACGGGACAAAACCAAATCACCACTTGTACCAGCCTGAAACTTCAGCACAATAATACCTGTCAAGTTCCCGTCTCTCTCCCTCTCCAGGTGCTTTTGTTCGCCAGAGGGATCTGTTCAGGGTGCAATATGATGTGAGGGGTTGCTATGGAAACCCTCTATAAGTAAAATAAGTTGGGTTTTTTTTTTCCCTTCCACTCTCTTGCAGAGGGCGTCAAAGTCACCTATTAAAGTCATGACAGTCCTCGCATGTCCTGTTCACACGTGGGGAAGACAGCGGTGATGTATCATTCACAGCAGTCACAGCATCACTTTGGGTCTTGTAAAGTCTCTGATTGCAGGCTAGGCAGTGATGAAACTCTTCAAGTACAGTACGATCCTTTTATTTGACAAGAGGCCTGATCATGTTTGATTCACTAGTTCTGTAGTTTCGGCATAATTTATAGTAAATCCCATTTCTTCACAAAAGTTTGAAAATCATTAAAACAAGAGGTGGGACAGCGTCTTCAATCAGCCCCCTTTGGGAGATAAAACTGGCATGGCTCTTGACTCAGGCTAACTATGGCTCCTCTACAACACCACCTCAACTTTCCTTTCTTTGTGCTTTTCTAGGTCACACTGACATGCGGAACGGAGACAGCCTTGCGATCGGTGAAGGAGCCCAGCAAATGCCAGTACATCATGGACTTTCAGACTCCTGTGGCCTGTCAGCCGGTGCTAAAGCAGCGGGGCATACACAGTGAACTGTGACCTCTTCCCTCACTGGCCTAGCCTAGATTAACTTAGCCCCCTCCCACCGCACCCCCTTGGCTAGCCTGCGGTGACAGGCTGGGGTCCTGAGGGTCCCCTCTGACATCTGTGTTGTCAGAACATATATACTTCCAAGTAAGTCTTGCTGAGGTCAGAATCAGATTTTCAGTAACACTGCTCCTAGACAACTTTAGTTTTCATTGATTGTTACAGTACTGCTTTACATTGAATATTTGAATACAGCATGTATTGAATCATTTCATGTACACAAGTATTCACACTGCAGTATATTCCTTATTCGTGTTTACACTTAAGGCCCAGCAAGATTACTATGTAAATAATTGAATAAATAAAGTGAAACCAGATCACTTGCTAATGACATTGCCACTAATGTAACTGCTGTATCAAATCAGTGCCCATGCATGGGCACAAATAAAAGGAATGTGTCCTTCTACTTCATTCCAGTGGCTAACTTACTCAGGCTTACTTAACTCTTAAAAGAGAAGTCTGGCAATATTCAATATTTGTCTTATTGTCTATTAATTCCTTGAAAAGACCAAAACCAAAAATGATTTGATCCTCCAAACAAGTATTGCCTGTTTAGCCAAAGCCTGATATAGCTTAGCATAGGCTCCATTGAAAACTATTTAAAACACATCAGTGAGTCGCACTGTTGCACATGTTTCTTCATTACCACGGACATGAGAAGTGTCAATCCCCTATAGATCAGGGGTGCTGATTGTGTATTAATCCGCAGCTGAAAATAGTCTAAAACAAATAGTAACTAGAGGTAAATAGGGCTATTTAATTGTTTGAGTAATGTTAAAAACAAAACACAGTTCTCAGCTGTTTTAGGGAATTATTTAGCTTCTTTTTAGAGAATGTAACTATATATTTGTGACCCGTGACAAGAACAAATAGACTAGGGTAAGGAAGTCAGAAAGTATTGAGACTGTTGGCTTCAGTACTGTTTTCATTATATGTATTCCAGTGTATTTACACTTAAGCCTCAACAACATTACTATGTAGATAGTCAAATCAATAAAGTGGCACTGCAAGTAATGTAAATGCTGTATCAAATGACTGCTCAAGCACAAATAAAAGGACTGTCCTACTTTATTATAACCATACTTTAATTCTTTCTTTAATTCTGCTTTTACTGCAACAGTTTTAATGGCTCGTGTATTATTTCCTACACAGTTACACAGTAAAACATCCTAAAACGTGTTTTTAAAAATAAAAAATGAATGCTGTGTATGATGTTGTTATGTAACAGATTGTGGGGTTTCTGCAGCAGAGCCCTCTGCTCATTAAGGGGGAGCTAAATCAGCTGTCAGGTATCCAATAGGCTGCCTGATATTTTCCTGCCCTGCTGGGGCAGCTGGGTGGCTGTTTGCCTGCTAGCAATGCAATAGCCTGGGGCCCTGTTGCCCAGGGACTGCTGTTTTTTATTTATCTGGCTTCAGCTCCCATCCACATTCTCAATTTGATGGCGAATGTAACTTTTTAGGTTCAGCTTCGGTTTTCTGAATAATAGGTTTGTTTAAGGTGTCAATAAAGTCGGACGCAAGACATTCCTGCAAACAACTTCTCTAAACTAACCTCACATGTAAGTCTACTGTAGGTACTGTTTTTCTGAGGATGTAATCCATTTTGATTCCTCAACATCTCTGCAATAACACAATATCACTGTGTATTTTAATCTCCCCCTCATTCAACGTTTCAAATAGGCAACAGATGCCAAAGCTGATGTCAGCATAAAAAACACTTAGTCTCCACAGGCTCCTAACTCTACCAACAGCTGGAAATGCTGCCAATCACACAGACAGTGTCAAGAGCAGCACTCTGTCTAATATTACATTACTGGCATCTGGACAAAACTTTATATTGCATCATTGCCATATGGAGACCATGTGATGGTGTCTCATAAATAACTTTTCCTTGGATAAAACCTGCTCCAACAAAGGAACAGAATCAACAATCTGCAGGGTATCAACAACTCCTCACTTTACTGAATGATCATCATGTGTTAAATTACTTGCGTGCTTCACCCCACACAGTGTGGGTGGGAGCCACGTTGGAAGACTGCAGTTTAAATGGACAGTTGTTTGGAAAAAGAAGAAGAAAAAAAAAACTTTCTGTATTGGGTTTTTTTGAACTGGCTGGCCATTGATGTGTTGCTGCGGATCAGAAAAGGTAAGGAGGGATTTGTGGGAAGGATTCAGTAGGGAAACTGAGCACATGCTGAGCGCGCACACACACACACACACACACACACACACACACATACTTACGCACCTCCATTCAGCACATTTGCACATGAAGGGGCAGGGATGGAAAGTCTTTCCAGTTGAGCGTGGGCGTATTTGTGTGTTGACTCCAAATTGCTAAAAGGGCCCAGAGGCTTTATATTGCATTAAATCTCCGACTCAGCTTTGTAGAAACTAGTTCAGGGTACCTGTTCTCTGGAGTGGGAGACGCCGAGGCCTTCGTCTGACTGACTGACTGACTGACTGACTGACTGGTTGACTGGTCGACGGACGCCCACCACAACCCTGCGCCGCTTTCACTCTTTTGAGATTGTTTTTAAGCTTCCTCCTTTGAAGGCAGGCCAGTTATACCCTCAGGGCTGAGAGGGAAAAAAGGGCGCTCGCGTTGAGTCGGCGTGCGGCAGTCACATCCATCTCCCTCGTGTCCACGCTTACTCCAATCTATTCAGTCACGATACTGACGCTTCACAGTCAGCCTCTAGCCTACATATTCTCTGCAAACAACACCACTGAAAGGCGTTTGGTTTGTGAGAATACAGTACATACAGTATGTACAGTTTCAGGCCTACACTCACTGCTCTATCAGGCTGTAGTACCGATACTATTTCTGTGACTGATATGTTGTCATGACTAGCGTTATTTGCTTTTATCGTGTCTAATATTAAAGTCGATGGAATCCTGTTTTTCTTTGGAGTAGGTGAACAACTGAAGTCACTGGTTAGCATTTTCTTCCAGAATTGAGATTGGTCATAGACACTGTTTGATTTAGCAGGTCTTGGTCAATCATATTATTTATTTCTCTTTCTCCGCCAAATAGTTCAAATTGGCTTTAGAATAACATTAACACCTTTTTTTTTTAAATTATCAGTCAATTTTGTCAATTTACTTAAAAGAAACATTTTTCCTTAAACCTGCAAGAACAGATGTTTTTAGCCACTTGGAGGCAGCAGCAATAAGCTGACATGCTGGATCACCTTTTAAGTCAATGTGGCGAAGCTGTTAGCAAACTGTTTACCTATTTGCACATTTAGCAGATACAAAGAAACAGTAGCACTAATTTAGAAATCGTGTTTCTGGCCACCTAATAAGTCCGATATTCACTCTCCTTTTGACTCTGTTTTGGTCTCCACCAACTCTGGAGGGAAATATCTGCCTCTCTTTAGCAGCTAAATGCTAAATGTTCACCAGCCAGTAGCTGATGTTAGCTGTTCTGTCTGTCGGATTTTTAGAACTTTTTCACTAATGGACACTGATGAGAGCATCGAGACTGAAACAAAACAATAAAGCTGAGGGCCCTAAAACCAAACCAATAACAGGCGCTATAAAGCTCTGTAGAGCTGAACTGCAGAGTAAGGCGATAATTCTCTGAGTTCATCACTACAGGAGACCCTCTTTACATTACATGTTGTCATTTGATCTTTTATGTTAAATTACTGATTGCACCAGCTTTAATGTTACTGCTAGCCTAACAGTAGCACAAGCAGAGAGGTATTTATAACTCGCTGTGTACAGTGTGTACGGAATTAAGCATAGCTGCATTATTATGCATTATATTCCTTATACTTTTCATTTATAAGAGGCAGAATGTTATTTCTGGCTTTGAAGTTGCTCCATTGTGTCTTAATTAAGGTTTCTGAGAAGCTGAGGGCTTCTTCCACACAGGCTTATTCTGTTTTACTGTGCAATATTTCAGAAAAGCAACAAAACAAGTCGTAATAATGGCAAAGGCTAATAACAGTCTGAGGCATTACCTTTAAATCTACACTATGTCAAAACACTGGTGGATATACTGTAGAGTATCAGCTTCAGAATCACACGTTGCATTACTCAGTGAGAGAGCATGTTGACACCATATAGGAACGAAGAGGAGTGAGAGAATTAGAGATGCAGATGAACAAAGACTAATATTGACACGAGGATGGGAAAGAGAAGGGGGGGAGGGGGGGAGATACACAGACAAATAAACAGAAGCAAAAATGACAGAACGGGACGAAGCTTGAGGGAAAACTGCTTTGAGAGGAGGAGAGAGACAAACTGACTCAGTAGAAAACAGCAATGGGAGGAGCAGAGGGAGAGAGAGAGAGACGTGAAACTGGGAGAGGGAAGGGGGGAGGTATAAGCAACACTGCCTATCTAGCGGAGGGTAAATGTTTCTGTGTTTGTGCTGTCACGTCGGCGAGCGAGGCTCAACACTTCCCCTGTGGAGTGGATGAGTGTAAGCGTGTCGCGGTTGGAGGCTGGAAGGCCGAGCTGTGATAGCATGTGGTTACCAGGGGCCTCCCGCAGTTGGCTTCTCCCACTTACAGTAGAGGTGGCTGTTTGAGAGGAGGTGCAGGGCCTGGGAAGCCAGGCAATAAATGGGCACGGTTAGATTCTCCTTAAATTACATAGAATAACTGTAATATTGCCGGCATATTCAATTAAGGACAAATACTAACACTGCCACAAAGGTTAGTCATATTTAATGTCAGCTTATAGCTTGTTTGTTGCCGGAGCTCGGCCGAGGCCAGATCAGAGCCTAAAGTGCAGGAGCACTGCTTAAAAAAAAATCAATTGTAAAATGATTTCTAATGTCAAGAGGAGCAATGTGAGTTATGACAGCATATATCAAACAAAGACAAAGACTGTGCTGACAAAAAGGAACAGTGGTTACAAATTGAAACTAACCAACAGGGATATGAAGGAAATCAACAGCTTTGCGAGCGGCTGCTAATCTGCATAAAACCTAATAATGTCATACCTTTGTCGCGGTGTTTGCAAAGGGGATTCAGTTTGCTCAAAGGCTGATTTGCATTTTAAAAAATACAACGATTCTTTTTTTTTTTTTGAAGGGAGATGATCGGCAGAACCCCCAAAAAAGTTGTTGCCTTTCCTGCTCCAGTTTTCTGTTAATAAAAAGTTAATTAAAGAATGCAGAAGAGTATGCAAATGAGCTGGTGATTATATAGCAGAGTCCCTATAAGTTTTAAAAGTGTTGTAAATTGCTTTTTTTGGTGTTATTGTATTTTTTAAATCCAATTTTCATTTATTTTCCTTCTGCAAATAAACACAAATCAAAACCAAACTGTATCTCAAATATCTTCAAATAAAAACCTAAAATAATGAGCTCAGGGACCCGCTAACAGCAGATAATCGGTTCATTTTTGCTGCTTTCAAACATTAGTTATAAATAAAAACTTGATTCCACATCAGGTGCTAAATCTCTATATTTATTTACTTTCATCCATCATCAGAATTTTAACTTAATGAAATTAATTAGCTCAGTTTGTCGTTTACAGGAGAATGCAGACAGTTCTGTCTTGGACCACACTCAGTAATATGAGAATTTTTAAATAAATGTCATGTAGGTGTCGGTGTGTTTATGTGAATGTACAGTATGTGTACTGTTGCAGATGATAATTTCAGCTGTTGTGGTCTGGTCCTGTGCCCATCAGCGTCACATAAATAAACCCGTTGACATGCTGGAACTTGATCAACAGTTGCAATCCAAACACTTTCCTTGCCCTTCTGTGGCTGTTTCTCCCTCAGCAAATTGTTGTTTTTTCCCTCTTGTAGCCCCCATTAGGATGATAGATGAGAGGAGATGCAGAGCGGATGGTTAATCTTTCAGGGAGAGAAAGACCAGAGAGAGAGGAGGGAGGTAGAGAGCGTTGTGCCATGTACATAAATAAACAGGATGTTGGGATTTAGCAGGAAAATGTGTGGAGGGAAGACGCCGCTCACAGATAGAAGACAGAAGGCCGAGAAAGAGAATAGCGGGCCCGAGTGAGGAGATGGAAAGTGATTGAAACGGAACAATGTGAAAAACAGATGGAATGAAAAGGAATGAAGAAAGAGGGAGAGAGAAAGTGGGAT